GGGAAGTCCTTCAAGCATCTGTTGTCTGTGACATTAAAAGGCCTTTTTGATAACTTGATCGATCTGAAGTCAAGATAGCTTGCCAGAAAAATGTCCACTTAAGAAACCTAAACGAAACATTGAGCCACTTTGATTCCCATCGCATCTGCTTCAATGCAAGTAAGGTTTCACCATACACCCCTTAACTCCACCCAAGGCAAAAAAATCCAATCTAGCGAAAGGCAATATTCATAAGTGTACAGCATAGAAAGATATATATTTTTTTTCATGAGAAGCATGCACCGGTGAAAAAGCGCTTGGTCTGGAAAGTGGTATCGTTACATTCCAACAAATGACGGCGTCCTCCATCTTTAAAAAAAATCACGGTCCATCTAATGGAAGACTCAACCGCGCTGCTGCTGATGGAAAAACAGGCGCTTGGTCAGCAGGGGCTAATGATGCTAATCAGTGGCTTCAAGTGGATTTTGGAAGAAATGTCAGAATTACAAAGCTCGCTACTCAAGGGCGTCAAGACTACGATCAATGGGTGAAGGCATTTACTCTTTCATACAATGTTGATGGCAACCCGTCTTTTCAGATTTATCAAGAGAATGGTGCTGAAAAGGTCTGGTAAAGTACAAGTTGCCTAGTAAAGAATATTCCCGTTAAACATAATTTTCTATATTTTAAAATGTTAAAAAACTTATAAAAAGAAATACAACTAATAAGATAATTTATTACAAAAATTTAATTTGAGTAATAAAAACAAACTTCGAAATTAAAACAAAAAGTATGAAATTAAAATTTTGGATTCAACAAAGAGTTTCACATTTTTTAACGAGAACTGTAAATGACTAAACGTCGTAAGCTACTCTTTTAATCAGGCTTATGACATAGCTATCAGGCATAAAGCTTTCTCCTCAAATTCCTAAATCTTTAAAAGGTAAAAAGGTTTGCTCCTTGTTCACCATCTTTTTCAGGTTTTTAATGGCAACAGAGACAGGGATACAATCGCGAACCATATACTTATTCAGCCAATCATAGCCCGGTCCGTCCAAATAAAACCAAAATCATGGGACGGTCATATATCCCTGAGAGCGGAGTTTTACGGATGCATCCTTTCAGGTAATGCCTGAGACAATTTATTTAATCGAAAAGAAATTCAATGTACTTCGGGTAAAACTAGCCTAGAAAACACACGGTCGACTCACTTACAAAAAGTGGCAGTTTCTCTTTTTCGTGGTAGATTATGAGTGTAGATCTTATCTCTTTTTGGTTGTGGTGTTAGTGCGTTGGTCTTACGATTCAGCAAAATAGATCGTGTTAATCACTGAACGTAAAAATAGCTAGATATTCGAAAGGAAGATTCTGAGAAAATATCACTAGTAGCGATCGTAACTTTACCCCACTTTTAACCAGCTTTAATTCAAAGTATGGCAACATCATGAGTTGTGAACTACCACAATCACAACTGTTTGTGAACTTGCAAACAAAGCCTACTTACACAGCTACTCAATTTAAAGAGAGAAGACACTTGAGAGAGATTTACATTTACTTTGTAAGAAAAAGTTCTTAAGAAAGATTTTTTTCTGTTGGTTGCGCAACAGACCGATACCAAGTGCTGGGCCGAGTCGTGCACATGGATTTCGTACAAGAGCAACTCAAAACAAAGAAAAAGGTTAACTTTGGAGACTCCCAGGAACAGCCCAATGGCATCGAGCTTGAAGTCATGGCGGATACCATTTATATGAAGGTGTGTTTGACAATTTTGTATTTAAGTTTAGTGAAAACCACAATAGGTCCCTAAGGATTAACTTTTTTTTAGGCCTGCGGGCTTTTTGAACAGAGGGGCTCATCAGAGAGGAGCCTAATGAAACTTTGCTGCGGGTGACAATGCAATTGATTTCTTCTAAATTTCGGCCAGTTGTTTTCAATACCATACATATAATGCATTTATTTGATTCAAAACGACTTTCAACTTGGAAAGAATAGTCTTATAAAAACATAAAGTTCTAGATCAAAACGTGGGGGAAGGGGAGGAAAGGCTAATATAACAGTTACATAGGTGTAGAAAACCTGATGCGACAAACAGGAACACGAAGGATGGATCAATACTTCGTTATCAATATGGTTATTGATACATATATCTTATTAGACGTTTTGTTGTGTAGTATCGCTGAGTATTTTTCCGAGTTGTACTCGTATTTTACGAGTCGTGAGTATTTTGACGAGCCCGTAGGGCGAGTCAAAATACAAATAACGGGTAAAAATACGATGTGTTCTTATTCAATGTAAATTCTAACCTGTCATCAATAATTTGTCACACAGGGAGACATTAAAATGCGTGGAACCAAGAAGCTGACAATGTTTAGCCGTAAGCTTTCATTTGTGAAAGGAAGTAAGTTAGATCTCAGAGCTCCAGATCTGTCACAAAGCTTTAATAGCCTTGAGCCTGGTGCTGATGGAAATGATGGCAAACATGGCGTAAATGGAACCACAGGTAAAAATATGGCCTTAAGCTAAGCTTGCAATCCCTCAGTTTCACCAAAGACGCTATGGCACTGGGATATGTCAGAAATGTGCTAGAAAGCTATGTGAAAATAGTAACAAAGACAATGATCTTCATATCGATGGCGATGAATATTTGGAAGGTCGCTCCTAACGTTTCTTTTTTAGAATCCCAGCCGCCATATTTAAGGTCTACATTTTTAAGCCATTTCTTACTTGTTATCAGTCGAGATATCGGCCGATACGGTGGTAGGATATATCAACATCATAACTAACGGTGGAAATGGAAACAAAGGCCAAAATGGCGCGGATGGTAGAAAGGGAGCCGACAACATGGCCAAGGTATAAAAATTAGAACATCCACAATTTATATAATTATAACAATGGCGAGACAATATACACTGAACGCATTCAAAGTTTAGTATTACCTACATTTTCAAAACTTTATGCACTTCTCTGTCTGGTTGTTGTTGTTGTTGTTTTTTTAGTTGTCAGAATAGAATTCTTCCTACCCGTTTATTATCACTACGACTACTTTGTGTCGCAAGAAAGTTCATGAAATTGATCTGAAGCTATCGATATATGCATGACTATGTGGAGGTTCAACTGTATTAGTGTCAAAATCCCTGTTATTAATATTATTAGATAATTGGCATGGACGTTTACCGCTTAAAAATGACCGTTGTTTTGGAGCGATATAGCCACAAGAAAAGAGCTGAGTCTATAGATTAATGCAATCATTATGGTTGAGTTGATTACATTAAGGCTTTTTTTTAATCAAAACAGGAGCTGGATAAAACACAGTCAGATTGTAATGCACAAACTAAGAGAAATGAAAGGGGGAAAATCACAGGGTGTACAGAAAAAATCACAGGTACACCTGGCGTCAAAGGAGGAAATGGAGGAGATGGAGGATACGCTGGAAAGTCAGGTCACTAGCCCACCTGTTTTTGCTTTTTTTTTGTCGTCTTTTGCTTGTTAAAGTATCGTTAGGTGACTGTTTTTATGCTGATATGTTTCGTTTTGCTCGTTGAGTAAGTCTCACTGAGTTTACCTCATTTTTTAGAAATTATAAATTCGCAAGATTTTATCATAGTGTTGGCATGGAAGGAGAGGTTTAATTTTGTTTCAAAATTGTTTATGTTAGTGGAATGACATTTAAACTAATATCACTCGTTTAATTTATTTCACTGAAGCTATGCTTTGTCTAAAAACAGGAAATGGAGGAAACGCTGGCCGTCAAACAATTTATTTAATAAAATTACTAGGGAGTATAGAGTTACGGACGTGTCGTGGAACAGGAGGGAAAGCTGCGAAAAATGGAGTGGGAGGAGAAGGTAAAGGCTCGCACCCTCTCTAACTTTTTTGATCTTCCTTTTCGCATTTACACGCGGGATATCAATATCCTGCATTCAGTTCTTCCCTTGTAATTCTTCCTTGGAGCTACTGCGATCATTTCCTGCTATTAGCAGAATTTTTTGCAAACAGATTGTTAAGTATATGGGCAGATCCGTAAAATCTATCTTCCTGCTCTCAAAACCAACTATATCTTTAAAACTTTTAACCTGCATATTGCCTTAGTTTGATAAAATCATCATAGCTTTGGATCTGAAAGGAGAATTGGTAAGATGCGCCCAGAGATGCATGCTGATGATGATAATGCTGGAAATCACCAAAGGCGATAATGTTTCATTGCCACGTATACATACCACAATGAATTTATTAGTCAGAATAAGGTGAAAAGAATCTTTTTTAGCGTGAGATCTGGACTTCATCTTCCTTTTAATCGAACTTGACTCGCATTTAACTGACAGGAGGTGAAGGAGGATTAGGAGGGCATGGAATCAAATGCAAATACAGCCATAGAGGCAAAGTAATCGGAATAGCGTGCAAGGCTGATGGTCAAATCGATGCATCTCGGGGACCAACTGGAAATAAAGGTCGCAACGGGCAAAGTTGAGTATTACCCATCGGCTGCCCTTTTAAGAATGTCGTACTTAAACTTCTCGCATAAATTTTCCTGAGCCTGCAGATTTTTTATCAATCGAGTCCATACTCGCTCATTGCATCATCCCCTTGGAGTAAATCTGGCTGTATTTAAGTTGTAAAACGAGACAAATTTAGAACACATCTTCTCACTCTTACCCTTGAACCACAAAAGTATGTTCCAACACTTTTGAAAATGACTTAAAATGATTCCGAAATTGGTCAAATTCGATCCATAAATTTGATACCATCGTCCCAGATCACTATCTTTTTTTCTTTCTTATTTTTTTTAGGGTTAATAAATACTCCATAAATAACATTATCTCCTGTTTTATTATTGCAGCCCCTGTAAGCGCTGGTTCAGATGGTGAGGTAGCAAACTCCTTCTTGCAGAAGTTAAAACTAGACCGCAGTCAGAAAAATAAATATCCACTGGTGCTAATGAAGGTGATGACAAGATATGCTGAGGAACTAGTCTTGGTCAACAATACCAGAAATGCCCAAGCAGTCTTTGAGTTCATAGCTGATTTAGCGATCGGAAGAGATGAGGATCTAAGAAAACGTAGGATAATTTGTAGGAAACCGAATTTCGTGGGTCGGCACATCTGCTGACTTTCGAGTTTTCGGATTTCGTATTATTTCAAAAAAACTGACACCTTGTCAGAAGTTAAGGCGGTTAGCTGAATACTTTGGATCAATACCACAAAGCTGGGCGAGTCTAGACATGCCGAATGGGATTCAACAACATCAAAAAAAAAAAAAAAACTCTGAACTCGTTAAGCTAAAAACACGGTTGCTTTGAAGAAGCTGTAATTTTGCTATGGTAACCTTATATGTCAAATTGGACAGTTTTGTTACCATGGTCAAGGGGACAAACGAAATATGTGGAGGCTACAATTGATCTAAAGGTTAATGTTTCAGTAACAGACAATTTGAAGCCACAAAAAACTAGTAAATTAGGTTCATTTTCTACGAGGGTATAGGATTAGGCTTTGAAATCAATGACCATTCAGAAATACATTAGTAATCAGTAGAAGGATTGTAAAATCAAAAAAACAATGACTGGAAAGAAAGTCAGAAGTGAATACCGCCAGAACTATGCGGTAAAAACTTTCTTGAATTGCTTCCTAAAGCAAACCGCTGAAGTGAATCGAGTTCAGCGAAGAAATTCAAAGAAACTACATTTTGTTTTTCAGTTTCAAAACGACGGCTGGGTTTCCTAAACAGGAAGGGATTTGATAGATTTGGAAATAACAAATTATTTGCACCTCTCATGAAATGGGAAACGTTCAAAGAACAACTTGTTAAGATAAAAGATAACGCTCAAGCGTACGAAAATGCCTACAACGGCATACGTGCATCCATTGAACAACAAGAAGGTATAAAACAAGTGTTGCAAGCCCTTCCTTTACCAGCTAAGATCCAGGTCTCTAAAGAAAAAGAAAGACTTGTGGAAGCAAGAAGGATAGCATTTAGTGAAAAGAGAACCTATGTGCAGGTACGTATCAGTCCTCGTTATTCACCTAAGAACCCTTTTAGTCAGCCGGATAGTCTGTCTGTCATATGAAATAATTTGGATATATCAACAAAGTTGAAATGGTAAATTAGCCACCGTAATGATTACAAAAGCTGACGTTTCGAGCGTTAGCCCTTCGACGGAGCGAATACGAACGAACGCCTTTCATTCCACTAGTTTATTCATGTTTTTCTCGTTGCCATACTCCCACCAATAACGTAGCTCCATTTTCTGCCTTTAAAAGCACACACAACCCACAATTCCTCTATTCGCTCCGACGAAGGGCTAACGCTCGAAACGTCAGCTTTTGAAATCATTACGGCGGCTAATTTACCATTTCAACTTTGTTGATATATCCAAATTATTTCGTTACTCCCACCGACGCAGCCCCAAACAGTTTCTTTCGAAACTATCAGCCTTTATTTGTCTGTCATATGGTCCGCAAGTCAGTCAGTTAGCCAATCAACCACCATGTCACCCAGTCACTCATTTACTATGTCACTTACTCAGAAACTCATCGGCTCATTTAGTCACGCAATCACTCACTCACTCCCACACGCACGGAAAATCGCGTACGTAGGCTTTTAAATCGCCAACTTAACCTTTAAACCTATCCACATTATGATCTTTGTTATATTCACGAGAATCACTCTTGAGTGAGTCAGTTTGCTAGACATAACGTCTCGTAGTCACGTTCGACGCACTAAAAACTACTATAAAACGAATACAAGAATTGTAAAAACTGTAAAAACGTGTAAAATGGTATATAAAAAGTCACTTGTAAAAATGTAGCGGAATTCCAAATCGATTTCGATCAATTACGATCCTCATCAGTAGTACTCCGCCATGTTTAAAATACTCATAAATAATTGTTCATATAAGTGACTCTGAAATGTCCACACTTCTTCCAGGCTTCATGTAAGCGGTCATGATGTATATCATCGCCATGGCCATCGTTATGAAAATGAACAAACGGTACGTGGATGACATCAACATGGCTGTGCAAGCAACACCAGTTGGGATGAGGTACAAGGATGGAAAAACTCACATGGATGAGAGATCCGTAGCTGAGGATCAAGGAATCAGTGACGATGAGAGGACTATGACATTGATAAAACAGATAGGAAACGACATACACCCGTCAATACAACTCGAAATAGATTACCCCTCTAAACACCAGGACGGAAAGCTACCTATCCTTGACTTGAAGGTGTGGATGGAAACAAAAGGGGAAGAGACAGACAGGCAGGACGAGAAAGCCTCAGCCTCAGTGATCATGTATGAGTTTTATTCCAAGAGCATGGCTTCTAAGACAGTCATACATGCTAGGTCTGCCGTAAGCTGGAGTACAAAGAGAACAGTCCTGACCCAAGAAGTCCTTCGGGTCTTACTTAACTGTAGCAGATTGTTACCATGGGAACGAGTAGTAGAGAATGTTAACGAGATGGTCCTGAGAATGCAATACTCGGGGTACAGCAAGAAATTCAGATATGAGGTTGTAGATTCGGCCCTCAAAGCTTTTAGAGCGAGACAAAGAGCTGAGCGAAAAGGAGAAAGACCGTTACATCGACCCAAGGAGTGGAGAAAGGTGGAACGAGAAAAGGAAAAGAGCGAAAGGAAATCCAACTGGTACAAACGCGGCGGGAATGAATCAGTAATTTTTGTACCAGCTACGCCCAACTCACGGTTACGGAAGGAATACCAGACAGAAATAAAGCAGCAAGGTTTCAATATTAAAGTGGTGGAGAAAGCCGGAATCGCCATTAAACGACTACTCCAAAAGTCCGACCCATTTAAACCGCGACAGTGTGGACGAGAAGACTGCCCAGTGTGTAGCACAGGTGGAAAAGGACCGTGTGATAGAGAAAGTGTGACGTATGAGATTAAGTGTATCCAGTGTAACAGCGTATACGTAGGGGAAACAGCCAGGAGCGCGTATACCAGAGGGAAAGAGCATACGAAATCACTTAACAATAAGGAAGAACGATCTGCATTGTGGAAACACTGTAAAGAGAAACACAATAGAGAGGTAAAGCAGTTCCGAATGGATGTGACGGGGGTTTATCACAATGACGCGATGCTGAGACAAATAACTGAAGGAGTGAGGATAAATAATGTGAACGAAGACTCGCTTATGAACTCCAAGAACGAATGGAACTTTTTTCAAATCCCACGAGCTGTGATTGATACATCATGACCGCTTACATGAAGCCTGGAAGAAGTGTGGACATTTCAGAGTCACTTATATGAACAATTATTTATGAGTATTTTAAACATGGCGGAGTACTACTGATGAGGATCGTAATTGATCGAAATCGATTTGGAATTCCGCTACATTTTTACAAGTGACTTTTTATATACCATTTTACACGTTTTTACAGTTTTTACAATTCTTGTATTCGTTTTATAGTAGTTTTTAGTGCGTCGAACGTGACTACGAGACGTTATGTCTAGCAAACTGACTCAATTATCGAACACGTTCCTGGCCTCGGCCCACAAAATTTCATCACACTCTTGAGTGACAAAATGGATAAAAATTGAAAAGCATGAACGAAAGGAAGAATTAATTCTGGAAGCAACAATCATTTAAGCCATTTGCTTTTATTCCTTTGGTTCAGGCTATCACTGAACTCGAAGCAAGCATGAAAAGCTCACTTGAAGAAATAATCGTCCAACTTCCAGACGTACATCGGGCAGCGCAGTTCAACAAAATCGACCTGTTTCTCGTTCTTCAAGCTTTAGTAGGGTTTGTCACTGGAACTACAGAGAGAGATTCATTAGCATTGCTTGGGACTACTTTAACAGTTATTGGACATTTTGCTTCGAGGTGCAAAACTGGAACACTTCAAGACAATAAGGAAAAACTCAAGAAATGGCTGATGTTTGGCATGGAATACGCCGCCCTAAAGGACTCTAGTGAGCTGGATTTTGACAAAATGGACGTGGGATCTGTACCGGAGGTCATGAAGGTAAAAGCTCTCCGTAAACCAACATTTAAATACATTAAAATACACTTTTCAGATGGTTGCCATGAGGTTTCTCAAGAATCTCAAAACGCGCCAGTGTCATTATTTAATTGAAACATTGATGTCGGGGATGAAAAGTTCACGGTTTCTTTTTTAGCTCATAAGATTCGAAGGGAATTTTTGACGGTAAATTTCTCAACTTTCTTTAAGAATAACCTTGAAATGAACAAGGAAGGGCTCACAGCGGACCTGGTTTGTATGATAGAGGAGAGGTCACTTCCACGAAACCTTGCAAAGTTCAAGGAACAGATAGAACGTTTCTTCGTGGCTGGGGGAGCAAGGATTGATCTCATAGCCAAAGTAATTGATCTGGATAATGCAATTGGTGGATACAACTTCGATATCCCTAATTTAGAAGGAACTTCAAATAAAATAGAAAGTCTGCGAAACTCTGGAGGTAAGGATAACTAAGGATCGATGGTTGATAACACGCATACCTATGTGCCACCTGCAGAGTAAAGCATATGGCAGTTGTAGGTAAGGAGGCAGACAAATTCAAAATACATGGAAGAGGTTGTATATTTAACAAACAAGGTATATTCCATCTCTCTCTTTCATTTGGTCCCTTTTTTTATTTTGACTTGCAGATTTAGACTCTCCAATTGCTGAGAACATACAACAGATGTTTTTAGATGATCTACTGACTACTTATCAGCAAATGGAAACAAGTTTTATTCAAAATCTCTACCAGTTTTACAAAAGCTTTGAGTTCCGCTTACTGTGGAATGTTGGTAGTACCTTGGTCGATTATCAGCGACGAGCAAGCAAAGCTGCTAGGGGAACCGATCAACTTCGAGGTGTACTGCAGCTGACTAGTGCTTTACAGGAAATCGATTCTATAGAAAGAAAAGGAAGAAAATGCTTCACTAAGTTCAAATACTCAACCAATACACACAAATGGTCTTTCAACAGTGTTGATGATGCCATGGTCAGTATTTTTGTAAGCGTATATGACTATGCAGTAAATGGTTTGAACCCGGGGGTAACATGTGAAGGTGTAGTCTGATCGTCCGGGTGAGTGTAGTCCTGAGAAGGACTGTTGCCGGTGGCAGTGACTGACGTTTCGACAACCTGTGCGGAAGTCATCATCAGAGTCAATCACTTGACTCTGATGATGACTTCCGCACAGGTTGTCGAAACGTCAGTCACTGCCACCGACAACAGTCCTTCTCAGGACTACACTCACCCGGACGATCAGACTACACCTTCGTATATGACTATATGACTTATTAAAAAAGCCAGCAGTCATTTATGTTACCAAAAATATGAATAACAAGTGTGCTACTCCATGATTAGGTAGGCTGCGAGAAAGTGTTGCATACATACCGTGCCATATAAAATGCAGTATTTAAACGCCATGAAAACGACTATCCTTAATTCACAATAGTTTGGAACTGCCTGCCCAGATAAATGACTCAGTGTACACCTCTCGAAGTTGGTTAGTCAAAGAGTTAAAGACCCACTCAACCGTGGTTTTCTTGGGGCGGGTTGTAGCTTCAACATTTGACAGTTCCTCGAGATTAAGAATACCGCAAATGTTAGGTCTCCCTGTGTCATTTACCGAGTTAGTGCAATACTTGTTTGAACAACTTTTTTTCCTCTTTCTTTACTTTTATGCACTAGCTCTTTGATGATTTGCACAGAGGAAAAGCAACGTTCACAATAAAGGTTTCTGACAATTGCAAGTCATGCTACAATGTTCGTCTATTAAAGGTAGGAAAAGTTTTCAATAATGGCTGCTTCCTCAGATTGCGGGCTCATCCATCGATGCTGTATTGCTATCACGCGTAGAGAGGATGTCTACCTCCATGACACATATTAGCTTTGGTTTACTAGTTTTGGTTAGGTTCTAGTCGGTCCTTAAGTGGTATTGACTTGTTGTTGCTGAACTTTGTGTTCTGTAACCACTCTATACTATCAGGCATCATCATTTTATTCTCTTTCTTAGTTAATTTATTCATTGGATATTTGTTAGCTGCCTTCATGGCTATCTTGCTACCTTGCCTCATATGCATTGCGCTCTTTCTAAAACTCGATACTGAAGCCCATTTTATTACCTCTGGGTGACTGTGCAGCGTACTTTGGTGAACAGTCTACACAGCTCAGCTCTTGTTTATACTAGGTCCTAGTGCACTCTTAGAAAAGTTAGATTCCGTGTGTTTCGCGCTGATCGAAATAAAGGTTTCCGTAGCTAGATTTGAGGAGAGCCATTTTGCCGCAGTCGCCCGCATTGAGTTGCGTTTGATCTGTATCCATATTTGCTTAAACACTTTTGGGCACGTTGTTTTGGTTTTCCCTTTCTCCTTTTCTATCGTATTGATCATCATTATTATGTTGTTATTATAGCTACAATGGAAGTCAAAGTTTTGCGTCCACTGTGGCTTGGTAGTGAGGCAATTGATTTCTCAGCGTGGTTTCAATCGATGATTAGTCAGTCAAAAGCTGTTTCTTGTTATTCTTTTGATAGATGTATGTTGAACTTTATGGAAATGCGGCTCAAAATGAAAACAAATTACCAGCAATTGTTCATCTAAGACTGCGACATATGAGTGCCTCGTTTTTTCGGGATGGAAATGGAAAAATAAGAGAATTCAGACAGCAAAACATGGACGTTTGGCGAAAGTTTGAATTTGACCGATTTGCAATTACAGATACCGCCAAGTGTCAGGCAGAGAAGAAAAGGGGAAATAGTAAGTATTCAGACTTAAACTGATCGTATGGAGTTGATAACTATCGTTGTCAAGAAGCAGAAACACTGCTGTTGAAAACATAGAATACTCGATCCTCTACCTCTAATAACTTTTACACACAAAGTTCCAGACTCAATTCAAGTGGATTCATTTGCTAGAACCGAAACAAAAACATGGAGTGAAATGCCTTTATCTTTTAGAATACTTTCAAAAAATGCCTTCAAGAGGAATATAAAACAAACACTTTTTGAGATCCTAGCTTCAGCAGATTGTTATATTGATCTTTCAGAAATTGTTCAAAAAGTTAAGTTGAATTCATCTTCCTCTTGATTGGTCTGTTGATGTGTTGATATGTACTCAATTATATCGTTTAATGTATCAGTAATTTCCCGTCAAGACTGTTGTCATTTAATTAATTAACAATTGGTTCATACGTCAGCGTGCGTTCATCGAGATATGAAGCACGCGGGAAGTTTGGAGAGCACGAAAGATGCGTAAGAGTTGCTCGAGGTGTGGCCGAAAGTAACTCTAGCTTCTTGAAAATGCTATATATCTCGATGAACGCACAGCTGACGCATGAACCAATTGTTTTATAACATTTTCAACACTGTAGTTTCTGTACAAAGGGCAGAAATTCCCTCTCCTCCACTTCAATACATTGTTTATTTTGTTTCGGAAAAGTATTTCGCCATGCTTCAATGATCTTGTCTCAGATTGGTCAAAAATTTACAGGTGAATTTATGCGTGGAAATGAAGTTAGAGTTCCGAAACGAGATGAAACCGTTAATTGATTTGTTTTCCCTTTCTCTGGGTTCTTTCTCCGGAGTTAAAAAATCCATTCCCATGGAAAACGTAGGCAGATCTTCATCGGCTTGTTGGCTTGTTGCCATGTCTAGTTTAACATTTTTGCGGAAGCTTTTCCCGCTTTTTAATGAAAAATGCTGAAGTCATTCGCGAGAAAAAATTTTTTCACGAGGCATTTGTTTGCTGACGTCACCAGCGTGCACAATGGAAAATTGAAGCACGCTCGCGCGATTGAATTTGATTGCACGAATTTACAAGCTATGTTATAATTAACAATTACTCCACGAGCGCGCGTTGGATATGAGATGATAGATAGCCAACGAGGCGCTAAGCGCCGAGTTGGCTATAATCATCTCATATCCAACAAGCGCGAGTGG